AACCTGTTTTTATTTTTGTCATTCTTACTTTTAATCTTTAATACAAAATTAACACTCATGCACAACATTAATATTAATACTACATGGAAAAGTAAAAAAATAACAAATAATTAAAAAGAATTGTTTGGTTATTGTGTTATCTTATTTATGCAGAGCTCAGAAATTCACAAATTAAACTGTTTAATTAAATAACATACAAATACAAGAAGAGAAAAGAGCAAATCAGAAAGTGCAACACTTAAAGGAACTGTGAAATTGCTTATCCTTTTTTTGATACTGAAATGTTCTTTTCAGATGACATTTACCGTGTAGGATCTGAAGACTATTACCATGGCAATTCCTTTCAGAAACACACTATTTGCCAACTTCCAGTGATGCATCATTTGATATTTAAGGTAATGACAGCATTTAGAGCACAGTCAGCCCCCACTGCCAGCTGCTTCCCACCCACAGCCTGTCATGAAAACATAAGGGTGGAAGTTATCAGGGAAAATATTGCTGTTTGACATTTTTACTGGAAAAACCTAATTGGCTGAACCTTGATTATTGTAGTTTTTATCCTTAATTGCTAATAAGTGCACCATTTAAATGTCTTGATTTTGCCTCTGTGCGTGCACTCATTTTCTATCATAAACCTTAATAAACATTCAGCTCAGCAAGTGATTTAATATAGACCCTCTGCACAAAATGTGTATTAAGAAAAAAATAGATTGCATGTTTACAAACACAAGTTGGAGACTTTGTAACAAACAGACACACTGGCAACCTTATTAGGTACTCTGTGTGGTTTCCAGGTTCGATATCTGTTGTATGTCTCACATAGACATATGTCTATGTAAGAGATAAATACATGTAAATTAGAGTTAAATTATATGTATATGAAAGTGGCAGTGTGATTTATGGCTTGTATGGCCTCTCAAACATATTTCACTACAATCCAAATTAGCTCTCGAAGATTATGATCTGGTGGACGAAGGCCAAATGAAGTATAATGAACTTGAAACCATTTTGAGATATAAGAGTGTTTTTTGTAATGTTGCATTATATCTGCCAGGAAATTCCCCAATTATTTGGATGGATGGATGGATGGATGGATGGATGGATGGATGGATGGATGGATGGATGGATGGATGGATGGATGGATGGATGGATGGATGTTCTAAATACACTGGTTATTTGAGCTACTGTTGCCTTTACATTATCAGTCTTCTCATTACCTGTTGACTTCTGTTGTCAATTGATATGTTCTACTTTGCAGACCATTCTCCATAGCCATATCAAAATCTTATAACCCTTCCTTTTTTGTATCACTTTTAAAGTGCAAAACTTTTCCTGTCGAAACGTTTGATTTTTGTTATGTAAAAAAATTAAGTTTACAATTGTTGTTTAGAACATGTTTGCTGCTTCAGAGTGCATCAACATAAAAGCTTAGGTTTTTATTGTATACTTTATCAAAGTAAAACTTAGACCTATCAATCATCATCAAAAAAATGATTCAAAACAAAAAAAAAAAAAATACATTTTAGTATGTAAAACTATATTCCAGTTTAACATGCATATGTTTGGAATTCAGTATAACTCATATATACATATACAGTATGTATA